TCACCGGCCTCTGACTCCCCACGAGCCCTCTCCCGCTCCGGGCCGGCTCGCTCGGCCTTGGGATAGTCCTGCACGCTGCTGGGGGAGAGCACAGGCATCTCAGCGAGCGTCTCCCCTGCCCACCTGCCTTCCCCTCTCCCACGCCCCAAGCTCCTTCCCCAGCTGGGAAAAGCCCAACACAACCCACGGGACCCCCCCCCCAAATCATCTACGTGCATCAGATCCAGGGGAGCTCCCAAGCCCCCAGCTCTGCCCCTCGCACGCTCACTTGTTGTGGGTCTCCTCGGCGGACGCCTCCGGCTCTCCCGCTCCCGGCCCTTGGCTTTTGTCCTTCTCATCTGCGCCCTCCGCTTTTTGGGACAGGGATTCACCATTCACAGGACCCGACAAGTCTAAAGGGAAGAGAGAGGCTCAGACACTCGGGTCCCCACAGCAGACCTCGTCCACCCTGACCCACGAGGGGCTGGGCAAGCCGAGGACCCACAGCCAACAGGTTGTCCCCATCCAGGCAAGGGGACCGAGACCGAGGGGACCCCAGGTCTGGTCTGACCCCGATAGCTACGAGAAGGGCCCCAAAGACTCCATCCCCCAAGCCCAGAGGCAGGCGTCAGAGCGGATTTTCCCCATCAGCTCCTCCGGGAAGGCTCTTGCAGCATCACCAGGACGTCCCCAGGCAGGGACCCAGCCATGATGGTGGCAGATCCCAGTCACCAGCTGCCTGCGCAAGAGCCTGAGCCAGCGTCCAAGGGCGTCTCCGCATTCCTCCGTCTCCCCGGTGCCTTGGACCAGCGCTCAAGCTGGCAGCGAGGAGCCATCCTGGCCCAAAAATCAGCCCAGAGGCACCCAAAGCCAGGGCGTGGGCGTCGAGGTTTGCCCTCTGCTCTCACTGCCGCGAGCGTTCGCTACTCAGTCCTTTCCCACTCTTGGCACTCCAGCAAACAAGGGACTGGAGGTGCCACGCTGCCGATCCCCTCCACCACCGAGGCCGAGAGCCACCCCTGTTCACGTCCCCAGTCCCCAGCGGGACGGGCTGTGTCCCTGTTTGTGTCCCCAGCGGGACATGCTGTGCCCTGAGAAGGGCTCCGGGATCGCTACGTGCCCGGGCAGAGCAAGGAACTGCCCCGAGACGTGCAGGGAGCGTTACCAGCATTAGTCTCCTCTTCTCCCTTCTCATTCCGTGTCTCCCCTCCTGACAGCTTCTCCTGGCTCTTCTCCGCCTCCCCCTTGTCCTTCTCAGGCCCGGCTTTGTTGGCTTTCTGGATGGCCTCCATCTTTGGTCCCAGGACGCGCGACTTCAACCGGGTGTAGACTTCGGCAGCTTTCTCCATCACGTCCTTGTTCGCTTTATAACGACGGATCTGCACCAGAAAAAGGGAGGAGGGACACCCTCAGAGCTGGGGCGACCCAAGCACGCTCCTCGCTCCCCTCCAGGCAGGGACTCAGCCCTCTGCCCTACCTTCTTCAGCGTAGCCACCACGTCGGTGTGCTTCTGGAGGATGTGAGAGGTGACCTGGAGCGTGCCCAGCTCCTCTAGCGCATTCAGACACCGCTTGATGTCCTGCAAGGATGGCACCAAGATCAGAAGCTGCCTGGAAGTCTCCCTGTGGGCACCCGGGGCAGCGCCGCGTGGAGCACGGTCCCCTAATGCCACCCAGCATCCAGAAAGGGAAGAGGAGGCTCAGCCAGGCTGAGCACCCCCAGGTATTGCAGCTGGGCAAGGCTCACGCGGTGGCCGAGGAGACGACGAGCAGGGACATCCCAGGCCAGACCAACCTCTCGGGCACTCACCGGGTTATCCACCTTCAGGGCAAACTTGACCTCACTGTGAAGTTTCTGAAGCTTCTCTTCGACTGTGGGCTCTGGAGCAGCAAGAGAGAGAGAGGTCGAGGCATCAGGTCACCGGAGGAGAGCACAGCACTGCCCGGAGCCGGGGACCTCTCCCCCAGCCAGCAAGGGTTTGTATTCCTCCTGCATTGCCAAGGTCAAACACAGCCCCAGGGGCCCCTCTGAAGAGGATGGGTTGGGATGCGCCAAAATCAGGAGGGGATGTATGGAGGGAAGCTCACTGTCTCTGCACACCCTGTAAATACTTTCCAACACGATGTCAGGACCGCGGCAGTGCTGGGAAGGGCCCTGTGGATCCCTCCCCTTCCCAGGGGATCCCTTTCCTGGATCCCTTCTCTCCCTCTCCTCCCCTCTGTGACGGCAAGCAAGGGCGCTCTCACCCTTTTTCTTCTCCATCCTCCTTTCAGGGATCAGGTCAGATTTCTTCCGGCCTCGTTCTACTTTCAAAGGTCTGCGGGAGGAAAAGGGAAGAGGTAAGATCATTCAGGTGAAGACCCCTGCTCGCCGCTGGGCTAACAAGAAGGGGGACGGCACGCACCGGCGCATCCCCCCCCCGGCCTGCCCGACGGCGCGAGCCAGGCAGCAGAGCCCTGCCACGCTCCACCACCGCTTTCACGCGCATCTCCCAGCTCGCAGGCAGACGGGAGCCCTGGGACAGCAGCTCCCCCATGCCCCAGCTTCCCGGGATTGCAGAAAGGCAGAGCCCCAAAGCGATACCCCGAGGATCTTCCCCTGCGAGATGGAAAACACCAGGGAAGCTCAGCCTGGTGCCCCCCAACACCTCCTCCAGCCCCTTCAGCTCCAGGAGACAGGAGGGGAGGAAACAGCCCGGCCCCTGCCGCGGGCGCTGCTGGCCCAGGGGCAGCTCCACGGGGAGCCCCATCCCCACCCCGGGGTGCAGCCGGGGCGGGCTGGGCAGCAGCAGGGGAACGGCCCTGTCCCCAGAGGAAGAAAGCGCCGATGCGGGGAGGGGAGATGCTGACTTGTTCCGTGGTTTCTCCTCTGCTCGGCCCCTCTTCTCCTTCTGATTCGGTTTCCTTGACAACTCTGAGGGCTGCTTCTTCACCGGCTTCTTTACCTTGGAGGAGAGAACAATGCAGGCGAGAGCGGCAGAGCCCTCCCCGCTGCGGGAGGGAGACAGCGCCACGGCCCCTGCTGCAAGTCGGTTTGGGTGCAGGGGCATCCCCCGCCCGGGATAAACAAGGGACTCGGGTTGCAGCACAGCGGTGTGCTGCTCCAAAAGTAAATATCCTGGTACCTAAAGTGGCCCAGCCAGCCCGCAGGACCCGACTGGCAGACCCACGCGTCCTTCCAGACCTCAAGATCTTCGGGCTGCTTTCCTGGCTCCCCCTCCACCGGGAGGAGCTCGCCAGGCTAAAAGGGCGACCTCGCCTCTGACCACGGGCAGGACGGTTCCCGTGAGCCCTCTGCGACCCTTCCCTGTGCTTCAGCCGAATCCGGCTGATGCCTCCTCCAGGCTCCGGGGAGGGCAGGGGAGCGAATCCGATGACTGTGGTGGGAGGGAGAGCATCATGGAGATCGAGACCCACAGCGGGATGGGGCGTCCTGGGCCAGGAGAAGAGCTCCCGTTTACAAGGCACGGATGTGCCTACGGACACAACCCTTCCCAGTGCCGCGTGGGCAACCCCAGGGTAACGCAAGACCGAGACAGCAGGTCCCTGCCACTCCTGGAGGTCCCTGCTGACCCGACCCGAGAGCATGGGCTGGCCGTTTGTCCCCAGCTCCCCACGGCTCTCTACTCACCTCCTTCTCCAGCTCCAGTTCAGAGTCTGAGGAGGACGGGGCCTTGGCCCGACCTTTCCGGCCCTTTTTGGCCACTTCATCCTCTGCACTGCTGTCTGAGTCCGAGTGCATCTCCTCGCCCTTCTCCGCTTTCTCCTTCCTCTTCTCTTTCTCCTCCTTCTCCTGCTCCCGGAGTCGACGGATCTCTTCCTCCTGCTCCCTCTTCCTCTTCTCCTCCAGCTCCCGCCGTCGTTCTTCATCTCGCCTCTTCCACTCGCTGATGCGGTCCACGTCGCTATCGCTGTCACTGCAAAGGACAGAGCACGCTTGGACCCCTTGTGGGGAGGGGAGGCGGGTGACCCTCCAGCCCAGCCCCGAGGGTGACAGTGTCCCAGCTGATCTCACCTGTCGCTGCTGGAGCTGGTCGGGACGCGCTCGGGCTTCGGTTTCCTGCCACGGGGCTTGGGAGGGGGTTTCTCAGCTGCAAGACAACGGGGAGATAGTCCCTCCACCTCACACGCTCTCCAGTCCCTCCACCTCACACGCTCTCCAGTCCCTCCACCTCACACGCTCTCCAGTCCCTCCACCTCACACGCTCTCCAGTCCCTCCACCTCACACGCTCTCCAGTCCCTCCACCTCACACGCTCTCCAGTCCCTCCACCTCACACGCTCTCCAGTCCCCCGAGGAAGCCAGCAGTGGCCCAGCGGTGGTGGAAGAAGCTGGGCCAGCGTTACCTGGCTTCCTTCCCCGCGGAGCCTTCTTCACAGACACGTCCGAGTCTGAATCGGAGTTGGAGTCCGACTTGGTCATGTCCACAGTCGCGTTTCCCATTTCCGAATCCGAGTCCACTTTGGAGTCTGAGTCGGAGCCGGACTCCACTTTCTGCAGGCACAGAGTGGGGTTGGACCGGGGCGGGGGGGTGGCAGCGGCTCAGCAGCGTGCCCCAAAACACAGCAGCACGGGGCACAGCCAGATCACTGAGGCATCAGGGATGTCCCTCCTAGCGCTGAACCTACACCCAGCCCACGGCAGAGCCCTGCCTCCCCCCGGCCCTCCTCCAGGCACCGCAGACCCTGGGCACCTCTCCAGCTTCCCTCTCGCTGCACTGCAGACTAGGGGTCTTTTACCTTCTTCTTCCTCCCCCCTGCCGGCATCCTCCGGGGAGCCCTGGCCACTGGCTTCTTCTCGGGAGTGAAGTCCTGGAGGAAAACACAGATATGAAGAAATGGGGAGCAGTCTCACGATGGTTTCAGAAGCCAGTCAGGTTCCCCCAAGCCACCGCCCCCCTAGACGGCGATGCTCTTCCTCCAGCCCTTTCCCCACCGCCCTGCCAGCCTCCATACAAGCGTATCCCAAAACCCTCTCACCTGGTCACTGTTTTTTTCCGACTCGGAAGATGTTTCCGAGTTCTCCTCTTCTGTCAGGGAGGGGCTGCCCTGATCCAGGTCACTGGAGGATTTCCGAGGCCGTTTTGCCACTGGCATCTGACATGCAAGAAGTGAGAATGTGAGAGAAGCCCACTCCCCCTCCGCCCACAACAGAAAGCCAACGCTTTGCCCAACTCTTCCCAGCAAGAGCAGCCGCGTGCACTCAGAAGAGATCTGCAGCTCTAGTCTCTTCTCCTGGCTGCAAACCACACCAGGACTGGGCCGTCCCACCGTCTCACGGACAACGCGAGACAGCTGCAAGACCCCCAAAGATGCACTGAACCCCATTTCCCAACGGAGAATCCAGAGGGAGTTGGTTCCTTCACCACCTCCTGCCACGGTGGGTTTGACATGCTGCATGGCGGACGAAACCTGCAGCTCAGTGGTGGACGCGAGGACCGTATCAGCGTCCTCCTGACCAGGACACCCTCCCGTCCCCGCTGCGTGGAACCGCCTCAGCCCACACTCACTTTCATAGCCAGCGATTTTCGCTTGAGCTCGCTGTGGTCGCTGCCTCGATCCGAGTCCTCATCGCTTTCCATTTTCTCCGTGGCGACTGCAGCCATGGCAGCGTCTTCCTCATCGTCACCCGCATCGCTTCCCCCCATCGGGTCGTTCTCGGGAACGTCGCTGTCCGAGGAGCTCGCAGGCTAAAGACAGCGGAGACGAGAGTTGTGTTACCGCCCCAGGGGGCCTGTGGCGTATCAGGGGGGAGAGGAGAAGGGGCACAAAAGGGTGACGAGCGATGGACGGCAGCGCTGAGCAGAGAGGTGTGCGTGCAGAGGAGCGTGGGGCAGCCTCCCCTCCCAGCACAGAACCCTTCGGCGTGGCTCTGGGGCAGGGGGGACAACGCGACCAGCCCTTCAACAAGGACGCTCAGTCAACCCCCTTCTAATTCCCCTGCACCCCCTTCCCAAAGCCCCTCACGCACCACCCCGAGACCACCAGCAACACCTTCCCTCTGGATCCCCCAGCTCGGCTTCCACCCGCTGCTGCCGCCTCGCTCCCCTCTTCCCCCCCATCCTCGCGCTCTGCCAAAGACCCCTGGAGAAGCCTAGACCTGACAGCCCCTCCCGGGTGAGCGGACCCCAGCTCTCCTCTGCCCTAATGGCGCCAGACAAGCAGGGCTGGGTGGCTCGGGTCAGCCTCTCCTCCGGCGTCAGGGAGCAGCCGTTATCCTCCGGTGGGCTGGCCACCAGCCCTCGACTTGGGTCAGGCCTCTTCCTTCTCAGATGGCTTCGCCCCACAGCACATCGCACGCCTTCCCCACGGGAAAGGTCCACACAAGAAGTCCAGTGTGGCGGCCACCACTCTTCCCAGTTGGGATCTCCTGTGTCCTGCTCCCTCACTCCCACGTAGGGAAGGTCTCCTGGCTTCTCACCAGCCCGTCATGAGGTTCCTCATGCAAGGACATCTCGCCCAAGGGCTTTCCTAGAGCTGGGATTCTTCCAATGTTGGAGCCTTCCTGCTGGAAAGCCTCTCCTCGTCCTTGACTGTTCCTGGCACCTCCTTCATTTAGGTCACAAAGCCAAAAAAGACGTCTACTTCAGTCTCTTCTTCTGCTCCTCCAGGCATTTTGGCCACAAAACACAGCTGGCATTGGTGAACCCTCAGCTTTGCTGGGGCCGTCGGCGTCGCCTCGGTCCTTCAATCACAGCAGGCCCTTCACCAACAGGCTTCTTACCCCTGCTGGGGTAAGAAGGTGGAGTCCCTGGACAAAGCGGGTGCCGCCTCCCTCACCATCACCAACCTCCCGCCCAACAAGCTGAAGTTGTTCTCCAGGTTTTCAAGCATCTCCATGGTCTCACCTTACCCTAAGTCTGCGGTCTTGAGTCCGACCATCTCCCACAGCTACTCAAACCACATCCTCTCTCCTGCGCTGGCAGCAGCACAGCCGGGGGGGGCTCATTCCCTGAGCCTGCCTACCTCTAGACCACCTTGTCCTTGTAGCTCACCTTAAAAACCTTCCTCTGCCTCTTCAGACCAACTGCCTATGAAGCTGCTTTGGACGCCTTCTTTGAAGATCGCTATACAATAAATTGTATCACACAATTATGGTTACGAAATGCCCACGCAAGCAATTGACAGCAAAGAGCCGTCTCCCGGCCTGCTCTGAAGCCCGCTGAAGGAGCAGCCCAGCGGCTTTTGGCTCAGGACCTCGGAAATGGATGAAGAGGGGGACTGCCCAACACTCCACGCGCAGGTCCGGGAGCCGGGGACGAGCAAGCCTCAAGTTCTTGCTCTGACAACGAAATCCTCCGTGGTTTTGGGCAAGTGGCACAAAGCACATCCCCGGTTCCACCTTGAAGATGGGGCAAAGGCATCTTCCTCCAGAGGAGGAGGAGGGCTGACTCCCTCAGGGAGGGAGAGGGCAGGGAAGGGAAGCTACTTCAACCCCGAGAAAGCCGATCTGCGAGCTGGAAGCGCGTAGGCACCATAGCAATGAGAAGCAGAAAAAGCAGGAGAGCGACTCGGAGGAAAGGAGAGATGGAGGCGCCGGCAGCCCACGTCCTCGCTGCCCCCCCGCCACGCGAGGCCCGCACTCACCGGAGGGGCACTGTAACTGGCGTGAGGGTTGTTCTGGATTTCCCACAATCCCTCGTTGAAGCCTTTTCTCTTGTTTGGTTTCCCATATTTGTCTTTATATTTTTCATAAAGGAAGAGATCTTTAGGGCCCAAGAAGGCGCTGGAGAGAAACAAAGCAGAGGTGAGCCCGGAGCAGAGGCAGCGGGGCAAAAGCCCAGAGAGGGGAGCGAGGCAGCGCTTACGTCTCGTGGGTGCCGAAGAAGAAGATGGGGTACTTGTTCGGTGGGGGTTTCACAGCGCCGTCCGCGATGTCATCGATCTGAAAGGAAACCCAAAGCAGGAGGTGGTCAGAGAGAGCGGCTTGAGCACGTCCTCTGCGAGGCACGTCAGCCCCGGCTAGCAGCGTCGGCCTCCGGCACCCAGAGTCCCACTGCGGCGTCTCAGGGCCCGGGGATCTCTAGAAGAGTAACAGAAGGGATCCGGCACGGACGCTCTATGGCTAGAGCTCGGCGCGAGGTCATCTCTCCACCCCCGGGCTCAACGCCCAGGGAAAC